CATTTTTTTCTGACCTACTTTATTTAAAGTAAATCCCCATTAATTGTAATTATCTGTACTCCACGTACACCAAACACCCAGCTGGATCCATCCCCCAGTTATTTAAATGAGGTAGCTCCAGATTTACACAACTCTGATTCTGGCTTACATACCTCTCTATATTTAGTGTTTGTTCCCCTGATCTGAATACATGCCTGGAAGATGGAAGACCACACAGCTCAATTAGCGTATTGATCAGGATGAAAAAAGCCTTTAACCAAGCAGCAGAAGGAGGTTGTGATCCTATGCTGGGGTGCTGCTGGAGCACTGAACATGCCTCCCCTCCCCAGTGCCTCCCTGGTGCTCCTGGAGAACAGCAAGAACACAAAACACAAGGCACAGACAGATCAGCTCCAAGTGCTGCGAGGGAAAACCCTGGCTAAACATGTTTTATAAATACTTGCAGATTTTGGGGTCACCCAGAGTTTACCCAGACCCCCGGACACAAGCGCCTCCAGCGTGATGGAAGTGTGGGATGGTGCTGAGTGCCAAGAAAAGCTTTCTCCTCTCAAAAATATGAGTTGAGAGATCTCATCATGGGTGTGATTGACATTCACAACTTCCAAAAAATCCCTAAAAATACAGAGTGTTGGCTAATAAAAGAAACAGGCTCTAAGCAATGACTTCTGGCTTTCTGTGAGGGCCAAGACTACAAGGAAATGGGAGCTCCTGTGGGATTAAAGGGGCAAAGCATCACCCACGTCCTTGGCCAAAGCAACCCCAGAGCAGCAGCTGTGGGAAACAGGGAAATCAGGGGGTTGTGGAGAGACTGGGACATGGGTACATCTCTGCTGTGTGCTAAGTGAGGGAGCAGGAGCTGGAGAACATCATGGGATAATCAGGAATTAAGATGTAAGTGGTGGAGATATCACTTCTGGCCACCCACGGAGTCATGTAGCCATGACTCATCCCCTGGTGCAGGAAGGAACGTAGCGTACCGCGCAACAAAATGGACAGGATCTTTCCAAGGAGAGATGATCTGGGATGGAAGCCCTTTAAAGGTCTGTTTATTCCTCCACTCTGGCATGCCTTTTTCTTGATAAAATCAGGAAGTTATGTGTTAAATGAGTTACTCTTTTATTTCAGTTTCCGACACTCCTACTGGAAAGATCTTCCGATTTCCAGGCTAAAAATATTCATGGCCAGTTCCTACTCATTTACTTTTCCACCGCTGCCCTTCAGTGTCCCAATGCCTTTCCCTCCGCTCGCATTTATTTTCCAGGATGTATTTATAGGCAGGAAAACATATTCCTTCTCCAGCCTCATTTTTTAGCTAAACTAAACAAGCCAAATTCTTTCAGTCCACAGGAGAAAAGACAGATTGTCCTGAGCTCTGATCAACACCTTGCTCTTCCCTGCAGCTGGAATTCACCCTTCCTGGGCACAGATGGCCACAGCTGCACGGAGGAGTTTGGGGGCAGTGCCAGCAGGGTATTGTCATTGTGTCATCCCTTGCCTAAGCAGCTGCTTCTCTTACTGCACGTGCCAATGCTGAAATCTTCAACTGCTGCCTTCTCCCACCAGAATGTCTCATCAAACAAGTTTGGGTTGGTTTTGTATCAAAACAGATGACTCGGCTGCCCCCTTACTGGTTCACCTACACTTCTATATAAGTAATAAGATTAAATAGTTTGTTTACTTCTCTGTTGTTTAGGGTTTTGGGGGATTTTTTTATCTTTTTAATCATATGTAGCAAATCTGCCACACAGAAAAGTTTGAAGGAATGAGGGAAGCTTCCATTTATATCTCCTTATACTGCAAATCAGAAGTCGAAGCTTAATCTGGGTGCTTCTCACCCAAAAATATGGGTCCCAGAGTCCTTATTTCTTAGTGCTGTGAGAATTAACAGCCATATTTAGGTTTGAAAGTATCCATCAGGAGAGGGAGTTGAAGTCATATATATATATATGTATGTATATGTATATATTTGTACTTGTCTTATGCACATGAAGTAATTTGGTCGAGGGCTGGTTTTGCTGTTATTTATTTCTATATTCTTGTAATAGCTGAAGTTGGCAGAAAATAAGGGAATATCTTCAACTTTTGAATGTTCTATGATGAGGATCTGTGGGACCCTGTTTTGTCTGATCCCACTAAATAATATTATACATAATACCATATTTCTCCCTTTGGGGAACTTTGTGCCAGAGTTTCACTCCACGTGAAATTTGTCCACATCCAGGTGTGCATCAGGTGCATCCACGTGGATCATGCCCAAATCTTTGCTTTTTGCTCCCTTTCTTCTGTTTCTCTGCTGCAGGAGGATCTAACCATTTCAAAACCAGCGACATGTTTTTAAACTTTTCAGCTCTTTTGACATCACCCAGAAACACCAAACATACCCTTCTGAGATAGCCTGTTTAACATATGAAAGTCCTCCCACTTTTTCTTCAAGATTAAATTAATTTTTCCTCCCTGAAAAAGCATTTTTATCTGCACTTTATCACATTTTTCTACTTTCTTGGAGCTGTTTCTTTTTCCTCCGTGTTGCAATTTAGACTCTGCAAAGCAGCAACTTTTTCAGCCAGTTCTGGAGTCCTGACATTCTCAGCCCTGATATTTTGACACAGTTTAAAGGAAAAAGAAGGGAGGAAGAGTAGAATTCAAACTCCCACAGAAAGAGACAGAAGCAGGTGCTGGAGAAGGAGCATCTGGAACGAGTCTTCTTATTCAATGGTGGGGGAAAAAACCCACATGGAAAAAAGAGGAGAGACTGTAACCTACAGAGGACAGCACAAGACAGCTCAGAAAAGATGGATATGATGAATGAACAGATGCATAACATGGAACTGGGGAGAAAGGACCTGGAATTTGGATGTCTCAGACTGCCAGTGGGTTCTTCAGTGAAACATCTGACTGGGGTGCAGCTCAGCTTTGGGCAGATCCCAAAAACAGAGCCAGGAGCTGTTTCCTCAGCCTGCCAGAGGTTTCTCCAGCACAGAGCTGAGCCCTTGGAGACCCTGCCTGACTCTAAGTACAGGGTGGGAAAACCAGTGTTCCTGAAAGTGGGTAAAGGAGTGACAAAGAGCAGAGGAGGGGATGGAGAATCCCTGTGTTAGAAGGAGGACAGGAAGACACCAAGGTGGGGGATTTGAGGAGGCAGCAAGGTGGTGTGAGGTCAGGGTGCCAATGTGTGCTTGGAGAGAGCTGTTATCAACAGAGAGTGAGTCCCAGAAAGGTTTGGGTTGGAAGAGACCTTAAAACTCATCCAATGCCACCCACTGCCATGGGCAGGGGCACCTTTCCCAGGTTGTTCCAAATCGCATCAAACCTGGCTTTGAACATTTCCAGGGATGGGGAAGCCACAGTTCCACCACCCTCTGAGTGAAGGAGAGGGACCTGTGGGATGGGGTGGGACAGGAGCCCCCCTTCCCCAACACAACCATGGGAAGAGAAAAGGCAAAAAGAAACCCAGAGGAGGTCCCAGATCTGCCAGGGACCTGGGAGCTGCTGGAGGTGGGAAGGTGGAAAGCATCATGGCTGAGGACAAACTGAGTGGTGATCCTGGGATTTGAGGTTGAGCAGGGACAGGGAAGTTGACACTGGACTGGGGAGCTGATTCGGGAGCAGGATGGGGTCAGCACAAGGGGGTCCAGCTGAGGCTGGTCTATGATTCAGTGTAGATTTTCTTATTTCAAGATGACTAAAGAGGTGGAATACCTATGGGGAAAAGCTGAGAGAACTGAGGCTGTTCAGCCTGGAGGAGATATCTTAGAGCCTAGGTCTTACACGGCTGGAGAGGAGGTTCAGGTTGGACATTAGAAGAAATTTCTTCACAAAATGGGTGATTAGACATTGGAAAAGGCTTCTCAGTGAGGTCACGGAGTCATCATCCTGGAGGTGTCCACGGAATGACTGGGTATGGCACTCAGTTCTCTGCTGTTGTTGACAAGGTGGTGTTTGGTCATAGGTTGGACTTGATGATTTGAGACGTGTTTTCCAACCTAAATGATTTTGTGATTCTGTGATTCTGTGATCTCAAGTTGTACCAGGGGAGGTTGAGATTGAATAGTTGGAAAAAAATTCTTCATGGAAAGAGTGCTCAGGCAACGGAACAAGCTGCCCAAGGCAACCTGATGGTGGAAACCCCAACCCTGTGTACATGTAGAACTTGGGGATACAATTTAGGTGAGATCATGTCCATGGGTTAACAGTTGGACTCGGTGATGCCAGAGGTCTTTTCCAACCTAATTCTGTAAGGGAGCTCCAAGAAAGCTGGAAAGGGACGTTGGATAAGGGCATGGAGTGACAGGACAAGGGGGAATGGCTTTAAGTTGACAAAGGGCAAGGCAAGATAGGACTTCAGGAAGAAATTCTTCCCTGTGAGGGTGTTGAGATCTGTGAGGGCAGAGGTTGTCCAGAGAATCACAAAATAAGCTGAGCTGGAAGGAATCCACAAGGATCATCCAGTCCAACGCCTGGCCCCACACAGGAGCATCCCCAACAATCCCACCCCGTGCCTGAGAGCGCTGTCCAAGCGCTCCTTGAGCTCTGTCAGCTTTGGCGCTGTGACCATTCCCTGATGAGCTGTTCCAGTGCCGTCACCCTCTGCGATTAGAACCTTTTCCCAGTGCCCAGCCCAACCTTCCCCTGACACAACTCCAGGCCGTTCCCTCTCCTCCTGTCGGGGCTCAGCACCGCGCAGAGCCCGGCGCCTGCCCTTCCTCTCCCCCTCAAGAGCAGATCGCGGTGAGCTCCCCCTCAGCCTCGCTTCTCCAGGCCTCATCCCTGTGAGCTCCCTGTGAGGACGGGGCGCGGAGCATCCCGCTGCGGCGGGCGCTGTCCTGTCCGGCCCCGCCGTCCGGCCCCGCGGCGCTGCCGCCGCCGGTCGCTGTCGCCGCCAGGCGGCCCCGGCCCGTCCCGCGCGCCGCGGAAGCGCCGCCCCCGGAAGCGGCGGGCGGGGGGAGCGGGCACGGGGGGGGCAGAGCGAGCGAGCGCCCGGCGAACGGGCCGGGGACGCGGCGGCGGCGGCGGCAGCAAGATGGCGGCCAAGTCGGATGGCGGCGGCGGCGGCGGCGGCGGCGGCAGCGGCTTCGCCCAGCTGCACAACCTGGACGAGGCGGCGGCGGCCACGGGCGGCGGCGTCGGGGCAGCGGCGGCCGAGGTGGCGGAGGAGCCGGGCGCAAGCAGCTCCTTGCACATCTGCCACTGCTGCAACACGTCGTCTTGCTACTGGGGCTGCCGGAGCGCCTGCCTGCGGAACCTCTTCGGGCGGGCCGCCGCCACCGCCGCCGCCGAGCCGCTGGCCCCGCGCCCCCCCGCCGCCGCCGCCGAAGGGCCGCCGGAGGGCGGCGAGGCGGCCGAGCGGCCGTGGCTGGACTGCCTGTGGATCGTGCTGGCGCTGCTGGTGCTGCTGGGGGATGTGGGCACGGACCTGTGGCTGGCGCTGCACCACTACGGCCGGCGGGACTACGTGTGGTGCGGCCTCACCCTGGCCTTCGTGCTGCTGCCCTCGGTGCTGGTGCAGATCCTGAGCTTCCGCTGGTTCGTGCAGGACTACACGGGCGGCGGGCTGGGCGCCGTGCAGGGGCTCAGCAGCCGCGGGCCGCCCATGATGGGGGGGACCGCGGGCCGGCGTGGGGGACCCGCCGGCGGGGTAGGAGGAGCCGCCGGCACCGCCACCCCCGGGGCGCAGCGCCTCTGCAGGATCTCCGTCTGGGTCTGGCAGTCCGTCATCCACCTGCTGCAGATGGGGCAGGTCTGGAGGTAAGGGGGCGGCCGGGAACTCCGCCGTGCCCCCGGCGGGGCGGGCGGCGCGCTGGGTCGGGAGCGCGGCCGCGGAGGGGCGGGAGCGGGGACTGCGAGCGCCCGGTGCGAGGGGGACGTGAGGCAGCGCCAGCCCCGGCTCCGAGGGGGATGTGGGGCACCGTCACCTCCTGGTTTGAGGTGCACGGGGACAGTGTCACCTCCTGGCTTGAGATGGACGGGGACAGTGTCACCTCCTGGTTTGAGATGGACGGGGACAGTGTCACCTCGTTGTCCAAGGTGGACGTGGGTCGGTGCGCTCTGGCCGAGGAGGGGCTGCTGTAGGTGGTTGTCAGCACCTGGTTTTGAGGCGGATGTGGGTGACTGTCAGCTCGTGGTTCAAGATGGGCATGGGTCAGTGTCACCCTGTGGTTTAAAATGGGTCAGTGTCCCTTTGATGAGGTGGGGAGCTCTCAGCTCGTGGTCCAAGGTGGACGTGGGTCAGTGTCACCTCGTGGTCCCAGGTGGACGTGGATCAGTGTCATCTCCTGGTTTAAGGTGGGTCAGTGTCATCTCATGGTTTGATGTGAGTCAGTGTCCCCTGGACAAGGTGGGGCAGATGGGGGTCAGTGTCACCTCGACAGGCTGAGGTGGGTCACTGTCCACTACATGAGGTGGACCAGATGGCCATTGCTGTTACCTCATGGTTTGAGGCAGACGTGGGACAGTGTCATCTCATGGCTTGAGGTGGATTGCTGTCCCCTGGCTGAAGTGGGACCGATGGGAGTCAGTGTGACCTCATGATTTGAGGTGGACAGGGGTCACTGTCCCTGGCTGAGGTAGGGCAGATGGGGGTTGTCAGCTTGTGGTGTGAGGTGGACATGGCTCCGTGTCACCTCATGGTCTGAGGTGGTGGTGGTCAGTGCAGTGCTCCCCACATGGAGAAGGAGGAGAGATTTGGGGGTTACTCCCATCTTTCAGTGAGGAGAGACCCAAAGGGAGGAGTGATTCCCACAAAATGAGCCTGGGGGCTGAGATGGGGGACATGGGGTTGTTGTTGCCTCATGGTCTGAGATGCAGTGCTCCCCATGGTGGAGGAGGTGTCAAGGTTCCCCCTTATGCTGAGGGGACATTTGAGGGGAAAAGAAGTTCCCTCAAAATATGTCTGTGGGGCTGAAGTGGGAGGAGTGACGTTGGTTGGTACAAGCAGGATATGAGATGGTGCTCCCCACTTGGAGATTTGGGGTGACCCCTTCTTCTCTGAGAAGAACCCAAAGGGAGCAGAGATGCCCCCTCCCCAATGAACATGTGGGGCTGAGGAGAGGAGAATAGGGCTACTGTCTCCTCACAGCTTGGAGGGGATACGGTTCTGTGCCCCTCATGGTGTGGGATTCTAGCTCCGTGGGAATGAGATGGTGCTCCACAGACATGGGGCAGCACGGGAAGGGGGATCAGGACAGGCCCGGGGCTGGGGGTGACCCTGGCAGTGCTGCAGTGGGAGGTCCTGTGGCACTGGAGGGGACTCACCCCACCAGCCCCCTCCTGGAGCCAGGAAAGGACCCCATGGAATGCAGGGGCTGCTCCAGAAGGGGTCTGCGGGGGGATGGACCCGTGGCTGCCAAGCACTGAGATGTGCTGGTTCCAGAGGGTTGGTGTCCTTCTGGCACAGATCCCGTAGGGATGAGGGGTGAGGGTCTGATCCATCCTCGAGAGCCTCTCCCCAGCCAGTGGAGCGGGAGCTGCTGGCTCGCTGAGTCCTCTTGAACCGAAGGAGCGGGTGGTGGGAGTGGAAAAACGCAGCGTGATGCCTCGGCTGTGGCTTTGGAGAAAGGAGAAGCCTCCTCCGTGGGGACGGCGGCGGTGGGGCTGTCGGTGTGAGCCTGAAGGTCAGGAATAGGGACTGTTCCCGGCCGGAGAGAGAGGTCGTGGGGTGGGGGAGGCACTGGCCGGAGGACGAGTCTGGGAAGTGACCACGGGCTCGGCAGGAATAAAAAAATATCCTCCAGTGTGAGCTGGAAATTACGTTATCCTCCCCAAAAAGAGAGGTGGGAGGAGGCAGGGAGGGATTCTCCAGGATGAAAGCCTGTGGATGCAAACACTGCCACAGAGATGTCAGGCTTACAGAAAGAGGTGGTGTAAGGACAGCTGTAAAATCCCGGCGTGGCCCAGCATCCTCTGAGCTGGGGCGTGGGTCGGTAATGTGGAAGGGGTGTGAGATTTGGGCTGGGGGTAGAGGGACAACTCTGGGTTGTGTCACAGGGTCGTGGCTGCACCCCCTCCACATCCTGGATAGGTCAGGCTGTAGGGAAGAGGCTCCAGATGGGGGTTTGCTTGGCGTTTGTAGGTTTCAAAATAATCCTTAGGGATCAAAGATCTTTATTTTCCCAATTTTTTTTTGAAGAAGCCGCGGGGGTGGAGGGGAGGGGATCTGTGTGGGAAGGGTGCGTGAGATGTGTACATAGGAAATAAGCCCATGCAATCATGCAGTGCAACAGCAAATACATATTTCTTCTGCATCTTCAATGTCATTTGTGCAGCGTTCAAAGCACATTTGTTCTCAACTTCTGCTTGGGGGTTTATTCTATTTTTATGGGTTTTTTACGGCCAGGGTTTGGGCTGGGGGGTAGTGGGAGGGGGATGTCTGCGGGTGGTGTGTGCGAGGATGATGAATTGGTCCGCGACCCTTTCTGCTGCTTCCCTGGTACTCCCAAGTGCTGATCCCGTCAGCAAAAGCGGTTCTCAATGCAGATGCTCCTCTGGCAAGTTGGATTTTTCCTTTCTTGGAGTCAGGCAGAAGAAATGATTGTGTTTTAGCTGTGCACAAACACCCCATGCCATGGCACGCTTGAGTGAGCGCGTGGGTAGGGGGATGCCGAAGTGATGCCGGCAGGGACAGAGGGGATGCATGTAGGGGGCTATTTCTGGGTAACAGAAAGAAGCAAAGCTCAAGTTGCCCAGACTTTTCCCTGCTATGCTAATGCAGAGGAAAAACATCTGCTTCTGAGACTGTGCAGGGCTGGGAATGCCAGAGGGGACTGATAAGGAGTGCTGCAGCTCAGATCATGTTAGGTGAAATCGGGGAGCTTTCTCTCCTGTTGATCTCTAATCCCACCAGTGCTCAGCTTCCACTCTTTAAGGCATGCTGGACAGTGTGGAGCCGACTCCCAATATCTGACCAGAGCGAGAATTAACTTCCTGGGATCTGTGGAGCAGCCTCCACGAGGGTGTCTTTTTGCATTCCCACTACAGCTATTGCCAACACCATTAAAATCAATCTCGGATGCAGTGATGGGGACTGATACTGGAACACTCTGGTTCGGCCACCTTTGCCTGTAGCGCAATCGCTGCATGCTGGGGAGAAGTTTAGACGTGGGGATGGAGGAGGAAAACCTAGGACAGCGTAAGTTCAGTGCGTAACGCTCCGAGCCCGGTTTCCCGTGGGATCACGGATCCGTGCTGCCGCTGCATGGAGCGTAACTGGGATCGTACCTTACGTAGGGGATGTCGTGGGTGTTGCTCAGCAGCTGGGAGCGAAACCGTGGAGAATTGGAGGGGGGCAGGTCGGAGTAGTACAGGAATTCTGAATACGTTAGGTAAAACTGCATCTGGATTTTGAGGGATGACACAATTCCTGTGGCGGCTTCTTCTCATAAATACTGGGAATACTCAGCAATAAGATGGTGAATAAATAGCATTTTATGACAGAAATATAAATATACATCAGGATCTTATTTTAGCAAGGCTGTCTCTTCATTTTGTCAGGATTGTGGGAGAAGGAACTTGTTTTGGAGCAGTCTGGATGGGGGCTTTGTCTGTCTGTGTTGTATTCAGAGGGTGGATCGTGACCAGGCAGAGGGCTGAGGGGGCAGTGCGAGTGCTGAGGGGGGACTTAGTGATATTCCTGGGGTTTTTGTGGTTTTTTTTAGTTCAGCTGAGATCTGAAGGATGTGTTAATACTGTCTGTCTGTAGTGGCTGTTGGAAAAATAGTAAAAACATGTGTGTGTGTATAGATACATATATTTTGAATTCTTGCTGGAAGTAGTCTGATTTCTAATGCCATTCCCACCAATAAAGCTCAGCTCCTGGGGCTTTTACCTTCATAAACCTACAATATTCACCTTTCTTCTCAAATCTTAGATTGTTTTGAGGACTTGAACAATTCATCCAGACTATCCATAAAGGGAAGGATGCCAGTTGGGGCACATTAGGCTCGTTATAGAGGTGCTGCAGTGCAAGCTGCCAAGGGCTGTTCCATGGGGAGGGATGCTGTGGTTTTGCTGGGAACAGGGTGAAGACAGGGCTGATGCTTTTGCTGGAGCTGTTCAGCCGTGTAGATTCAGAAGCAGAAGTTTTGGTATGTTGAGTAGTGGCACAGGTTGCATGAATGACAGGAGTGAACTTCCCTGTCTGATGTACCTTTCCTTAACCTCTGCTGGAAGTGGGTTACTGGGTCATGGATGCTGCCCTGGAATAGAGGGTTTAAAGTGGAAAGTCCGATCCCTTGCGTTGTGCCCTGCTATTAAAGCAAACATTATTGGATTCCATTGGATTAACGGGATGTGGAGCTGAGCTAAAATGAATGCTGACCAGCTGGAAATCTCTCTGTGTCTGTTAAATATCAGTGATGGTGAGTTTTGGGACATGAATTTGCTCTATTTATGGGGTTTGTTATTATTCAAATCAAAACAGATTTGAGTACAGATCTAGGAGGAAAACATTCTGTAAAAGAAACCACAGCAAACCACAACAGCCCTTGTCACTGTTGTGACATTAAAAATTGTCTTGTGTATGTACATGGTGAGAAATTACTAACATTTAGGCAGAGTTGGCATCTTTTTTATTAGTGGAAAGACCAAATCTGTGAGCTGTTCATCTTTGGAGGTGGAAGGATGAATCAATGGGTTGAAATGGAATATGAGGCATTTAATGACTTTGTGTTGAGTGGATTCAGGCTGTCCTAAAATACTTTGTCTGGGATGAACTTTGTGAGTTAGAGACACATTATTTTGAATACTTTAGA